AAGGTGAGAACGTGGAAAACCCTTAGAACCAGGGTGTGACACACACACACACAAGTTCACCTGGACGAATCTCACCCACGCGCACGAGATTAGTAGCCAAGCTCAAGCTGCTTCATGGTTGAATGCCTTATGGCTCGGGCTTCGCAACCTCACAACCACACTCTTCCGAATCCCTGGCGAGTTGAAACATCTCGAGCTTTCTTCTTCGCGAACTCCAACCCACTTCTCCCACTCCACAAGTCATCCGATCGCACCGCGGGAGCCGCCATCGCGCCGGTCCAGCTCCAAGATCTCCAGGGTCTGATTCTCGCCCAGCGCCTCGGCGAGCACCTGGCAGCGAGGTCCAAACATCAGGGAAAACGAGGTGCGATTCAAGGAGCTGGTTGAGTGCAGTGCAGGTCTCTAAAGAGTCCAATGGTCAGGGCAATCTGGTGTAGGCGATGCGACACAAGCTTGCAAGAGAAAAGCGGTCAAACCGATGGCAGGATCCCACCAAAAGCAAACCTAGCCATGCCGGGCCATGTTCAGTTGGCTGATCCAATATCATGCCCGTTCCCACCGGAAGCTGATTTTGTGCACAAGGAGCCCCCCGTTGGTGCCAAAGGAAGGCGAACCATTGGCAAGGCCCCCAAATTCGCAGCCTATACACACTGTACAAGGCAATGTCTCAAAGTCAGGCCACATCCAGATCGGCACTCCGCCCAGATGCATTCGCCCGGAGCAACTCGTGGCCCCCCATGAGGGCCCCAGACTGGGAGACACGCACCTCAGGCGTTGCTGAGTTTGAGGGTTGATACCCCTCGGTCCAACCCCTTCAAAACTTTTCGCCGCTCCACGGCGAACACTGAACACCCACTGAACACCCACGGTTCTCGGCCGCAACGGCTTACTGGACCACTTCGGCCGTGGCATCCGGTTTCGAGATGCGTTGGGTGGCTGTCTCTAGTGCAATGAGAAGGAAGGCCACGATGCATGTGGGCAAAGTGAAAGGAGCAGCCGCAAAGCCATGGCTAAGGCGTGTGAGTGCCAGCAGTCCGGCATATGTGGCGGTAGCTGCAGCTGATCCAACACAAACCAAAAGAGACACCCAAACATATCCCAGCGACTTGAACCGGCAGGAGATGAACATTCCAATCAATGCACCATTGAAGGTCCAGAGACCTTGTGGAAGCTCTGCCAGATCCACTCCGCAAGCTGCGCAGCCCAGCGCCGCAGCCAAAGATCCCACCAGCGATGCTTGTGCTGCAAGGGGACTTGCGAGGCAAATCCCTAGGACCATGATGAGCCCTGACGTGGGGTTGCAAACGAGAAAGATCTGTGCCACACCATTGAGCATGGCTTGGGCACAATCCAGGGCAGTGAGGTCTGGGAAGTCACTCTTCCAATTGAAAAGCACTGAACTCTTGCCATCTTCGTCTGGATGATCAGCCCACAGGTGCGTGCATGCGAGGATCACCAGGGTAATCGGGTTGAAGACCATGGTCAGCTGAGTCTTTAGGAGTCGGCTCAGTGCCACCACGCACACGGCGGAGAGGCCGGCCCCAGCAATGGTGGCCAGTAGGGCATTCAATAGGCTCTCCTTCATGAAGACTGCCAGGGCACAGCCAATCAGCACGCCGTTGTAACCCAAGAGGCCCTCCTTTCTGGCCGTGTCATCCACTCCCCAATAGCCCAGCAGAACGCCCATCGTGGTCGCGGCGATGCCGCCCAGCAAGGCTAAGATTCCACCGCGGAGGGTGCCAATGAAGATGCCCAGCAGGAAGATGAGCCCAGTGCCACGGTGAGAAATGAAGCACACTTGGGAGATGCCCTTTAAGAAATCTCCCAGAAAGTGACCCAAGCGAGTTCCCTCGGCCTGAGCAAAGATGGGCCAAACGGGGCTTGTGGTGGAGGAGCAAGCAAACAACAAGTCTCGCCTTCCCCAACCTCTACCTCTCTCTGTCTAGGTGGGATTGATTCAAGAGATGAGACCCACAAAATTGAAAAGGACAAGGCACTGACTGAATCAGTCAACGTTTCAACCACTCCACTCCTGCTGTGATGTTTCCATGGCTGTTTGGTTCACTACCCCACTGCCGCTATTAAAGCGGCCCAAGAGCAAGCATGTTCCACAGTCCGCCACAAGGAATTGTGTTTTTTAGCATCGTGCAAGCCAATGGATTTAGCAAGCGGGCGGAAATCCCCCCAAAAAGCTAAAACATGCCACTATTTTTGGAACCCCTTATGTAGAACCTATGTTGGCTCCAGGTACCGTAGGCGAACAAAAGCAGCTCCTTCGTGCTGGGTTCGTCAGCTCACTGCTTTCACTTCCACATTCAGGGTCACTCTTCTCCATCGAGTCCTGACGGTGCCGATCTGTGCCACCGAGTGGATGGGGGGTTCAACATGATCATGTGGATGTGTCGAAGGAGGGGTGTCTGCCCAAGCAGGCCAAGTAGATCAACACTCCGTCAAAAGGGGGATCGCCCGGGGCGACCCGTGCGTCGACCCGTGGCTCCTCTTTTCTGTGGATGCCCACATCAATTTAGAGGGATGCTAGATCTGCTTTTTGGGCTAGGGATTGGTTAGTGCTCCTGTATGATATCGTATTTTTTTCGGATAACTTGCAGAGTGATTCACATGACAAGGCCAAAACACAGTTCGATATATATATATATATACACACTACACCGATACCGATACCCATGTGTCGTTTGTTGCTTCACTTCATTTCACATCTCCTTTGATGCACATCAATTGACCGACCGTTTCCTCCGCCAAGTGGCCTGTGAATCTTGGACTTCGCTACGCGCCTCGTGGACGGCCATCTTCCGAACTCTGCGCGGGGTGTCGAGCACCAAAAATCGCGGATCAGATGGCTGAAGAGCCGAAAGCGCGCCCGATGCAACTTGCACGTCTCAAGGGCTCTGTTGGTTGTTGTATGTTTTTGGTCTGGCCCGGAGGCAGAAAAAGGGATCTGACCACTGCTGAGAGCCCATGACGTATAAAGGTTGTTAGCAAGCAGTGACGTGCTAGCTTTGTTCTTCATTTGGAAGGGAGAGGCTTGAGCTTCAGCGGAGAAAAACCCTTTCGCCACCGGCGGAGACCGGCGGAATACTCCGGCGGAGGCCTGAAGCCCTTCATCGCTGATCTTGTTTTCCTGAGGAACCGGGAAAAGGATGGTCAAGAGAGGGAAAGAGCGAGCCCAAGCACTATGAGAGAACCGTTTTCAATACGCACCAAGGCCCCTCATGGGCACTTTAGCCTTATATGGTTGGAAACACTTGGAAACAAACCCAATCTCTTTCACGATGATATGCAAGAACAAGCCATGACATTCTTCGAATATAGGTGAAAAGGCCGGCACGAAGGAACGCCATTCTTTTTCAGGCCAAAGTTTCCGGATGATGGAATTGGTACAGAAACGTTCCTCGACATTCATGGGACACCCCGTGCCTAGGAAAAATGTCCAACGATGTCCAACGTCAATGTTAACTACGTACTAATTACTAATTACTTACTTACACCGTGTGGAGCAGTTGGTCCAGCAGCATTCTCCAGTCCCCTCAAAACATCTCAAAACAAAACATCAAACCTTCGTGATACCATGACAAGGAAAGTGCACATACTGCGTCCCAAAGTCAAGAAGTTGGCACAGCTGTGGTCTACCGTTGAAGCCCCCCACACCGGAGAACCATGGGCCACATATGTGAAAGGCTCTTTCTCACTGAACTTCATCACACATCTTCCATTCCGACTCACTGAGACTTGAGGCGGATCAGTGGGTCGGAGTCTACAAACAAAACCCAATGTTCCTCAACCACCGAGGACAAGAAGTCTAATCCAGACAGGATTCGGCTAAGCCCAGGAAAGTCAGTCCACGGTTCTGCCGTAGCGGCTGGGCCAGAGCCTCCACGCGTCAGAAGCCGAACACAGCACAAAAACCCCCATGGGTAGACTCGGATAGAAAAAACGCAACGAAAACTGAGTTGGCAAATAGGTGTTATTCGGAAAGATCAGTCCATCCCCGCAATCAACAAGACCCATTCTTGCAAGCTCTCCCCATTCAACAAATTAAATACCAAAAAACTGTTTAAAGGAGGAACTGTGCATCTTCCCAAGTGAATTTCAAACAGTTCCCGCACACCGTTCGTATCACCCGTCGTTGCCGACCTCTTGCCGACCTCCCGACCGGTGTCCGGCCTTGATGCCGAAGTCATGGAGTCGATTGGACGCCAACTCCAAGGACCTCAAACCCCGCCGTTCTCTCGATGTCGCGAAGAGCCTGCATTAGGATGTATAACAAAGTCTCGGCAGTCAGTCACAAGATGGAGTTGATCAGTGATCCCAAAGGTGGCAAGCGAAGTCTCGTTGGTTTTTGTCACAAGATGGAGTTGATCAGTGATCCCAAAGGCAAGCGAAACAGCTGTAATGTTGAGCAAAAATGGATGACCACGGGTGCTCCACTACCCAGGGTGTTCTGCAAATGTTATCAAATTTCTACGTCAGCTTTTTGATCACAGTCACATTCATTCCGGTTCATGATCTCCATGATCTCCACACCGTTGAAAGTGAGAACAGCTGGAGTGAGAACGAGTACCACGGCTAAAATTGAGACGATCCTCCGCCGCCATTAGGTTCTTAGGGACCTCGAATCCTTGCTTCTTCATCTTTTTCCAACACATCGAACCAGGCCCCTCGAATCACAGGTGCGGGTGCCATCACCCGCCAATTCCCGCAGAAAAACGGCCCGAAATGGCCTCCGGTGAAACAAGCTGCTCGCTTCATTCAGCCGAAGAAACCGAAAGTGGTCCAGTTCCATCAGCCTTGCAAGGCTTTTGGCGCCAGCGACCCGCAAGTCGTTGGAAGACAAGTCCAGGCTAAGCCCAGAGGTGGAGCCTGAAAAGCAAACGGGGCCACAGCCGACCAGTTTTCAGGGCACTGGAGCCTTGATTGGGGAACCTCAAAAGCCACTGAGCGAACAAAAGAGACGATGAGAAAGGGATCGGTTTGGGTGGACAAGGCCCTCAAAAAGCTTTGAGTCCTTTGTTGAGAGGCCACAGCAATAACAAGGCCAACATGGGTCTGGAGGCTACATGGCTTGTCAAACGACTTCTGCCAAACCTTTCGTCTCACACGGCAGCAGCCGGCACTGCCATATCTGCCATGTGTCATGTCGCGGCGGCCTTTGCAGAGCACCTCTGCCAAGAGAGCTGCACCCTCCTCTTGCAGGAAGTTTTCCGAGAGATTCACACCGACCAGCGATGGCAGCTGCAGCCTTGGAGGTACCGAATGACCTGGAAGAATGGTACCGAACCGCGGGATCGTTCGATGATGGATCGCCCCCATTCGATACCCCAAGCAAGAGGCTTGCTAAGGCACCCATGAATAGCTTTAAAGATGTTGATATAAAGGCGCCGTGGCCCAGGAGGAGCACTAACGCCGAACGATGGGATTCCTCCAAGTGAAAAAGTGTGATTCCGCCCCTGATTGGCATGGGATGTGCTGCCTCGAAACCCATGCAGGGTGCCATATCAACGTCTGTGCCGTATCCCACCTTGTTACTGTACCAGGTCAGGGCTTGTCTCCTACTTGCGTAGGATCTTACCATGCTGGCAGCTCAAATTCCCGAAGGCTTTTGAACAAAGCCAATTCAAATCGCAAGTCCCACACCCCTTGAAACAGGAGTGGACAGCTCCTTTTGCTTAGGATGTCGGTCAATATGTGCAGTCCTTGACCTGATCGGTGAAACAGTTTCAATCCAAAGGTATCACAGAAACTCCTTCCAGAGTCCCATGGCTCACGACCATGCGAACAACTCGCGCACAAATGCCACATCCCAGTCCGCCACACGGCAAGGTGCATGAGCTCACCCACCATCTGAGCCGCCTACACAGCCGAAGCGCATAGCACAGGGGCGTAATTGCAACCACCCCGTGAGCCGCTGGGTTTGTGGCCCAGGACAAACCAGCCTGGAAGAGGCTTCGTGTGGTGCAAATCTTCAGATCAACCAAGAGAGGTAGCCAGTGACCTGAACTAGGGACCTTACTGGGGCTACCGAACTGGGATCGTCTACCTTACTGGGTTCTTCCACCTCTGGTTCGTCCATTCTTCCCATCCTTCGTCCCGGCCTTGGGTCCCAACAGGTTGTCCGTGAGCACCAGCTCTCGGAGGCCAACAGACGTCAAGGCCTCATCCGGAAGCAACCGACCCAGGGGACCCAGGGTCACTCCATGGTGTTTGGTTGGCCTGAAAACTGAAAACGCTGCGGAACCTGCCAGTGCTCTGAAAAGAGTGTTCGGTCGGTCAATCTCAACGAGTACGAGAGCATTGAACCTGCTAGATCCTGAAACCCCAGATCTTCGTCTTGCTGACTCCTTTCTCGTCATATCCGACCACTCTCAGCGACCATCACCCATTTCTGCAGCCGGGTGACGGCCAGAAAAACCTCCAAGCCCCGGATCTCCAGCTGGTTGTGGCCCAGGTTGAGGACCTCCAAACAGGTAGAAATCTTGTCGGAGGCTATGGAAGATGATGGAAGATGTAAGTTTGGAGGACCAGTCACACAATGTCCGCTCACCCCTCCCTGTGCACCTGCTTTTTCTAAGGACATGCGTGCCATTGTGCGAGGTCTATCACCACCAATTCCGAAAAGATGTGAGGATGCGTTCTCTCACTTAAGGCACATGGTATCTCGTGGTCTTTGTCTTTCTCCATCTTTTTCCCCCAATCTTGAACGGAAATGAAGGTAGGCCCGGCTGCCTGGGAAATGCCGGGTGAGGCGTCTGCTTCGTATGCCACTCATGCGCTGCCACTCCCCAAAGGCCATCACTTAGAAAAAATCTTCCCCACCCCCCAGCCATCTCTACCTTGAGCTCTCCCTCTTGGCCCATGTCCGTGCATCTCCAGCACTCCCACGGTCTCATGTCGCTGCTTTCAGTGGGCACCTCCAATGACTTCAGAGCGCTGAGTTGCTCAGCCCAGCACTGGGCACTCTCAACACCCAGGTGGCACTCCTCCAGCACCACCCGCCGCAGGTGCACACCCATTCCCAGCGCCGACCCCAAGACGTCAGCCTCAAGTGGCAACTGGCGCCATCCACACGCATCTAAAAACCAAGGGCAGCCGCCAACTCAAGAAACGCATGTAGAAGAAGCATACAAATTCATTGTTAAATGACTGCCTCGAGGAGATCGTTTTTTGGGCACAAGACCTCATATTCGAGACTACCTGACTTCCCTTTGCTAGAGCGGAAGGCACAAGAATAGCCTGTTGGTAGACCTGACAGGGTGAGAGCTATGCATATTTTGGCATCATCTGTTCTGCGCTGTGTTCTTGTAATGCATATATACAATAGGCCAATGTACAACCAATCCCCCAGCAGCAGGTGGGTGCTGAACTTTCAAGTTTCACACCACAGCATCAACTAATGACCCCTCGGCTTCCCCCACTACGAGTAGCTCTGATGCTTCACTTCTGAGAAGAATAGGGGACTTAGCATGGAAGTGGAAGCTGCGCGTCTGAGCAAGTAACAGCACGTCCATCGGCCATTTGGTTTAGTTAGCTCTTCTTGCAGCATGCCCAGCATGACCGACTGATAGTGTCAGTCGCAGCTGGCTTGAATCGAAGGCCTTCCAATCAAAATGCATCAGCTGAATGACGGCTTGGAACCGGAGCAGAACCGGAGCAGCTAGCTGGCTAGCTATAGCAGCTAGCTGCGTGACTTATCCCCAAACCAACCCATCGCACTGGTCATTTCAGGATATCGGTGTATGTACATACAGTAGTTATATTATATACTATATATGTCGGTATATCCCACGTTCACCATCATTTACCTCTCCCAGTGGTCCAGGTCGCATGAGAAGTGGCTAATCCACTGAAGGAGATCTCCGTCAGCCTGGCAACCAAGTTGACCGTAGAGATTGGACATCACAAGGTTCAAAATGTTGATGCCTCCTGGAAACCTCCTTAAAATATCTAAAACATGGTAGACCAGGGGCAGGGTGCAACAATATATTTATAGATACATACTGTAATTAAAACATGGACTATAATAAGTAATATCAATGTTTTATATATATATATTAAAGATATATATCTATATATATATTACATTTGGATACCTTTAAGCTGTAGCTCAAGCTCAAACAGTTTCCGCCTGTCATCCTTGCCAGTGAGCCGTGCCAACTCACGCTGCACGTCCAGTGGCATGGGCTCCTCCTCCTTAAGGGCAGCTGCACGTTGATGCTCTTCCGCCTGGATGCAGATGCGATGGACCAAATGGGCGATGACTGGAGAGTCCATTTGGTCGGGCAACTCATTTGGATTCCGCCCAGAAATGCTTTCGACTTTTACTTTTGGGTGGTTGGAGGTTATTGAACTGAATGGTGCCATCATGTTTCATATGCTTCGATTTGGCCGTTGTTTGCGCAGGTGACGCCAATATTGCTGCCTATATAACTGCGTGCACCCACGTGCCTCCTGACCTGGTTCCACGGAAGGCCAACATCTGGTCTACACGCTGTCTACACTGTCTCCGCTGGTCCCAGCAACTGGGTTGCCTGGAGATACAGCGCAGATACTCTCTCTCTTCCCTGCAGTCCGCTTGTCCACGTTCCTACGAACAACATCCCTTATCGACCGCAACACCCCACTTCTAATTAAGTCCCACGATGGCTCCCTTCGCGACAGAAAAAAGAAAAAAAGTGGTCGGGTACACCTCGACGGCTCGCGCGCAGCAAAGACTTTGGCTGCTGCAACTCGCCTTGTGCCTCGGAAAAGATCGGAAACGAAGCAACACCGAGCGACCACTGGTGGAAGATGGATGAAGATGGTGGATGTTTTGGTAGGTAGGTGGATCGGTGGATGGTGGAGAAGGGAGCCGGAACAAGTCATTGAGTCATCCATGGTCAATGTCTTGCCACACCTTGAAGCCACACGTTTGAACCAAGTGCCTTCCTGATAATGCCTAAAAACCTCTAAAGTATGTACAGCGCCAAGTGAAAGCCCTTCTTCAAACATGTCGGGGAGGGTCTTGCAGATGTAATTACATCACTCGAATCTAGGCCGATTGAGATGCACCAGCTATCGCAAAGGTCAATAAAGGGACTTGGAGCATCTGAGAAACCACAATTTTTCCCCGTCTCACCCTGTTGACAAGATGCTGTGGCCAGTCCCTCTTCTGGCAGTCTGCAGAGCCTGGTTCAGAATCCCAGGCATTCATAGTAATTGAGTCGACTCTTGATTCATAAAACTTCCATTTACGGTTCTAATGATCGATACTGATCAAGAGCCCACGTTGTTTCAAGAAATCACTGACATCATCTGATGTCACTGTAATTGGGCCTCAGCATTTGACGACAATCGCCGGGAGAGCCTGACAAGCTTCGCACGCGTCGGACGCTTCTCTCCAGCCAGTGGCCACGCTTGCTGTCAGGCAGCAGTATCCCACCTTCCCACAGCGGCCGCATTTCCGGAGGCCAGCTTGGCGGCAGCCGGCTGCAGCACACTTCATGGGAGCGATCAGATCAGATCCGAAGTCAACGTTCCGAAGGTTCAGTTGGATGTTCCTTTGTACTTTGCAACGTGCAGTATTTAAGGGAGTCCGCCAAACCCTGGCGCGAACAAATTGAATGCAGGCGTTCGGCATTCTTGGCCATCACGATGTCATCGCTAACTCAACATCAGCGTGAGAGGCTCGGTGTGATTGAGAAAGAGGATGAAAGGGGTACATAAAATCGCAGGCAGCCCAGCAAACTTTGGATCATCAAAGCATGAGGTGTCATCAACGTGTGTCTTGGAAAAACAAAGGTCACATAAGTTATTGAAGATAACCCTCCTGATTCGCAATCCACAGGCAATTTATATACATACAAGCTGGTAATCTTTGGGCTTCTGTGCTGTCAGCCCCTTTGGATGTAAATTCTGGTGCATGGGTACCTGTCAAACACACAACACTTCTTCGTGCCAAGAATGCTTGCGGAAATGGACCCTGCACAGGAACTGAATACCAGCTTTGCTCGTTCTCACTCTTCATCTACTTGGTTCCTGAGAGATCGGAACAGTCATGAACAGTCTATATGCACATTCCTGCTAGACATCCGTCCTGATGGCCGCCAGCAACGGCACGGAGAGCAGCATGCCAGGAACTCCCCACACCTGTCAGAGCTGCGCTCGCTTTCAGGCTCATCCCTCACAAGATGGAAAAGAACAGGCCGCATAAAAGATTTCTCCGGCTGCGGGGGTGCACAAGCCTAATTACAAAGTCTCAATGCTTCAAACGATGCATTCCATGGGTTGCAAAGGCTTCACCATCTCCAGTCTCGGAAGAGATGCCCACAGCATCAACCAGGCCCAGGCCTGGTAAAAGAACCAAATGCCCAAAATCACAATGACCTCTGGAGCCCATCACTGCTCAGTCTGATTGGAAACGGAGTTGATGACCGTGTTCTCATGTTACATGCCTTTACCAAAACAGCAATGTAAATATGTCGTGGCTGTGCCGGAGCTGTCTGACTTCAAGACCAGGACCGACATGCGAAGACGTATTGGTCTAGGCAGGCTGGGGTGAAGAAAGCTGATAACATATGATAGCAAATATCGAATTATGTGAGTCCAGAGCTGGACCCCATCACTATAGAAACTATAGAAGCCAAAGCTTGAAGTATGTATGTGTTCAACTAATCCAACCGGCTGCGAACAGCTTCCTCGAGGGGCCCCAAACTCGCGGATGGAGCTCCGGACAGAGTGGATCTCCACAGAGAAGCCAAAGACCACGGGCTCAATCCTTGGCAAACCACTTGGATGGGAAATGACATAACAAACAAGATATTTCTTGGAATTGGCACCGGCTTTTCTTCGGCCTTATGGTATATAGGTTGATCCCCTCCATGGCCAACTGCCAAAGCACATAAAATCGATGACGAAATGCACAATGATCTGCAGCACGAACGCAATAGCAACCTGCTCAAGCATAGGGCCAGTTTCAATAGCAGAAGTCCAACACTGCAGAGATCTCATCGCTCCATACGGTTCTCGCAAAAAATGCCCATCATGGATCCCTGGATCCCTTCCTATCTCTCGTGTGGCCCTGGGCCACAAGCGCCCGCCCTTCTTCACGCCTGCGTGGGGCTTTTCCTCGCGTCGATCATGGCGAGGAGGCACGGCATGATGGACGCCACGGGGGAGCCAATGCCTGGGTGCGTCGAAGGCAACGGCAAAGCGATCTCAGCATCTGGGATGTCCGGACATACCCCAAAAGCTTCTTCCCCCAACAAGTGATACCAAAAGGACCATGTCATACCATGTCTTGTTTCTTCTTAGGAGAATTCCCGAAGTCCTGCCAGGTGGAAAGCGCTGACAAGTTGGTAAAGGAATATTAGCCATCCTGATAGTCGGGCCATGCCCTCCACAAAGCCATGATCGTTGGGAGGCAATGTCACCCTTCAAGGAACATCTACGTGGAAAACAAATCTGGATCCGTTCCACTTCTAGCATTGGTCATTGTGTATCCAGCACGTTCCGGCACATCCCACCTTTCAAAGGTAGAATTCTATGAATCAATCTCAGGTAGCTGCAAAGCCCTGACACAGGCAGCAAGGACCCTAGCATGCTATAGCACAAACCCTTTCCTGTTGAATCACGTTACCCATGTCACAACTTGCATGTCCTTCTATTAGTCTATCAGTCTCATTCCACGTTTTCCACGTGGATTGGACAGTCTCACTCTCATGTTTCCCTGGTTTCCTTTCTGACATCTTCGGAGGCTTCAAAAAATATTGTATAATATGATATAACAGTTCCAAGCCATCACTCGTCTGCCCACCCACGGCCACGCAGTGGACGTGGGCAAAACACAGCGGCCTGGCAGGAAGTTGCACAGCAAGGCCAGCAAGCCGAATGCATCAGGGCAGTTCAAACCAGTGCCGTAGAGCAACAAACCTTAGAAGAAGGCGACTAGATGTGGCGAGGGGATGCGAGGGGGCCCTGAAATATCTCTACATATTTCCTGTATATCGTATGTGTGGCTTCTGCTGGTCACTGCCGGTTCCAGTGGTCTCCCTGTGGCACGTTCTACATCTTTCGTTACTGTGACGCGAGCAACCAACGCGCATAACAGAAAAGGAGCCGACGTCCACTGAAGTAGTTTAAACAATGTTCCACTCAATGTTCCCACCGCTGGGCATTCATGAGTGATAACCCCGTATACGTATAGTCCTATGCCTATGCCGCCCATGCCTATTCACAGGAACGGCGGATCATGAAACTCCAATAGTGTGGAGCGCCTATGACTCGCAGCTGTGTCATCGCAGGCGCTCCATGCCCTCCCTGGGTGTGTCTGAGGCGCCCACTGATGGAGAGGCCAGTAAAGGAAGAAACCAGAAACTTCACCTTCAAGTATCGACTAGTCGAATTGAAGACCTCCCAGGGCACACAAGTGTTCCGCGTCACCCGCTTGCAAGGCTCGCAACTCTCTTGGTAGCAAAAATGGTGAGGAGCCCTCCTTGTTGTGTCGTGCTTTTTTGGACTCTGCCTGACCACTTTTGTTAAGCCCTTGTCAAAACACGCCGTAAACACGCACCGGTGTGCGATTGTGACAAGAATCCCGGCCGAGCTTGGAGAGGCAATCCCAAGTGCCCAAGTGCTACAGAGTGCTAAGTGTTGGTTTGGTATGGGTTGGCCAAACCAACGGCGGAATTGGAGCCCATAGTCTTGAAGGGACCTCCATGGTCCATGATGCACCTGCACATCGACGAAAGCCGGTGTTGCGGGCCAGAACGCGCCTCGGTGGCCATAGCGCTGCCATCGACCTTGACCGGGCTCCAGAGCATGTAGATCAAGAAGATGAACGTCACCACCTCACAAGGTGAAGAAAGGAACCAGCTAATGTAGACTTCTGATACATAAACCACACGTCTGACAAGGTTTTACAATCCAAGTGCTGGGGCGATTCATCAACCGTCTACATCAATGGATGAGACGGTTGAAGCTTCAACCGCCCACTGGAGCTATTTCACCGGGGGGCTGGGCGACCCGAGTGCACTGGTGCGACCAGAGTTCTTGCCACCATACAGTCGTTTGCAGCAAAAGCGAAAGAAACTGCTGCACACCAATTGGGTACCACATGGGGTAGACCAAAACTATGTAGAGGACGAACCGGTACGAGCACAAGCACGCTTTTATAAACGAAGAAGTGCAACACGATGCAACCGGAGTTGGGAGCGGTCTCAGGGATTCTGGTTCCAGCTGGAATATGCAGGCCGTTCTTTCAGGCTTCGATCCTCAGCACGTTCATAGACCAGCAAAATGCGCTGGCACCACCAGCGAGATGCCAAACCTGCTGTGTTTCCCTTCATCGTGCAACCCAACAAACGATAACCCGCAGCCTGCCGCCTCTCGCTTCATATGCACATAGTGGATGATGCAGATCCCAATCGTGACTCCCCATTGACCACTGAGAATTACCAAACTGGATTCTCGGTGAAAAGCAACTAGCTAGCGTGTATGGTGGGGGTACATATGGTTACATGAGACGGCCAGTCCTGCTTTTCTGCGCCTATGGCTTTCACCTTGCGTCGACCCTCTTGATGCATTCTCCCCCAATCCCCGCGCCACACGAGAAACACCTCCACCGAGGGGCTGCTTGGAGCATCACCGCCAGCAGGCTTTGTGTCAAGACGGAGCCGACGCTCTCCACCTCTACAGCGGCCCGCCACAGCAGGGAGGCGCCGCCCGGAAGCCCTGGGTTCACCCAGGTCCGGTGGTTCCGGTGGTGCCGGTGGTCCCGTACGGTTCAATGCATGTTCTACGTGGGGTGGGGGTCTGGTCTACTTGTTTATATTGGGGGTCAAAAAACGCCGCATGGACCATCACTTGAACCATTCTCGCTGATTGAATGGATGTTGACCACCAGCCTATGCAGTTGTCCTCAAGAAGCTGGGGATGGGAATTGCCACAGGAGTGATGTTTCTTGAGCCAAGCTTTTTGACACAACATGACACAACAAGCCACACACCCTCTTCAATGACTTTGGCCAGCTCCATTCTGCCATATTGCGTGCCTCCACCACTAACTCCTCGAGAACCTTGTGAAAGTCCAGGCTCTCGATGTGCAAGCCAGTGATGTACTTCTTGATCCAACTGTTTCGTTGCGCGGAGCCACTCGGCCGAAAAGTCTTCGGAAAAAAAAAAAAAAAAAAAAACTTTCACACACACACACACAATTGCATGCTGATCGTTGGCTTCACTTCCTTCAGAATGCTAATTGAATGAAATCTGAAAACAGAAAACGTTCTATAAGAAGGTTCCAACATAGCCACCAGGCCTTTTCAGACGTGCAGCACCCTCTTTGTAGTGCTCCATGTCTGCTGAAATCCTTGGGACAACCGCCCAACGTCATGGGTCCAAACGTACGATGGGGATGTGAGCCCAGCCCTTCCCTCAATGGACGCCCAGCCACCCAGCTGCAGCTCGGAAAAAGATCTTGGCCACCAGCCAAAAGACGCCTTGGCACCGTTGGGATGCCCCGTCCGATTGTTCTCTGGGCACCGTCGGGTTGGGTCGGAATGAACACGTTCTATCGCCTTCATGGGACCATCAAACATCGAAGCACCAAGCAACTGGTTGAACATGTTCATTCGAGTCCGCGTATAGCAATTCTTACTTGATAGCTGTGCTGGAAGGATGGAAAGTGAGTCTCAAAGTCTTTACGATCCCTTAGAGCAAGGGTGCAGCAAACAGCCAAGCATCCACTGGGTGAAACCCAGGTGAGGAAGAACTTCTCTGGCTCTAGTTACATCGAGACTTGGGATCTCAACCATCGAGACTTGGATCCTTAACCTTGCGCGTGTTGGGGATCTGAGTTTCAGGTGGCGTAGAAATGTTGCATTTGCTGTACAATTGCCAAACTTTTCTAGCTATCTCCAGCTCTCATGATTTTACATAGTGGACCGCGGTATTCAGGCATCGATCTTCAAACAGCAGCACAACGTCGATCGTCTCGACACCATGCAGCTCAACCATCCAGCCCATGCCGAAGAGTGACGACCAGTCATCGCCAAGCAATAGAAAATGGACACGGCCACTAGCAATCCTGAGCCGCGGCCATCATTTCTATAAGGGTTGCGAATTTATTCCCGAAAGCATTGCGAAGGGTTCTTCCGGAAAATCCTTTGAACACTGACACTTCGACACTTACACTTCGACACTCACACTGACACACTTACACTTCGACACTCACACTGACACACACTCTGACACTGGTTTTCCGTTAACTCAATTTCTCCGATGGGAAGGAAGGCGAGGGAACGGCAAGGTGGCAAAGTCCGCTGAAAAGTATTGTTTAACACAAGTTTCACGACAAGCGCAAGTGGAAGCGGCGGTCAGCAGCTGCAGTGCAGTGGGAAACCTGTTTGTGGGGAAAGTATCGTGTGGAACCACCATGAATCAAACCAAAAGATTGGACAGCGTGTTCAAAAGTTGTAGCAGGTACGCAGGGCTGATCGGGCCCTGCTTCCCACTCTCGCCCACAGCTTCGTTGCGTGTGGTAGGGCGAGAGTGCCACACGCCCCTGCTTGTGAGAAAAAGTGTTGGAAAACCCTTTGTCCAGGGGTGGACACACACAAGTCGCCGCGTTCGGCGCTTTTTCAAAAACCGGTGGCAGGCGTGATAGTTGTGTCCTTTTTGGACATGAAGCCTCACGAGTTCAGCCGCAGCAGCTTCAGCGCTGGAGGGTGGAAATGTGTATGTTCGAATGGTGTGAAGTCGTGATTGGAGGCCTGATAGAGCCAAGCGCTGGCTCCCGGCGGTTGTGGAATCCCGGATTTTCCAGGGTTGTGAAGGTTGCATGTAGGTGATGGTGCGTTGTGGGAGGTCGATGTTGAAACCGAGGAGATGAAAATCCTCCACCGGTTCGAGTTCCACTGGAAAGAAATTGTGGTGGATGAGGGTTTGGATGGCCGGGTGTTGAAGGAAATGTTCGTTGTGGACAATGAAGCGGTTGTCGACATATCGATAGTAAGTAAAGTGGAGGTCTGTGTGTTGAAGGAGGTTGTTGTGGATCTGATGCCAGGAATGCTCAATGAGGGTGATGGCAACATTGCATAGGGCTGGAGAGAGCTGGGATCCAATCCCGGCCCCTCGGATTTGTTTGTAAGTATTGTTGCAAGCCCGGAAAATGCATGTGTTGAGGGCAAAAGCCACGATGGTGGTAATGTCGGAAGTCTGGATGGTGCGTTGGGTAGGGTGTTTTCGATGGTGTCTGCCAATGTGTGAGTGGTGGAAAGGATTGCCGGTGGCCTGGACATCCACCGTCAAGGTGTGTGTGGGTTGCTGTTGTTGCCAGTGGTGGACGAGGGAGTGAACTGCATCGATGAGTCGGTGCTGTGGGACTGAGTTGAAGAAGCCGACCAGGTCATCGTTGGTGGCGTGTAGTGAGATGTCTGGTGGGGTTTGGGTGAGGTAGCTGTGAAAGTGGTGCCAAAGCTGGGGAATGGACATTTGGCCGGGATGTTGAGGGTAGAGGTGTTGGAGGATGATGTCAAAGGCACGGCTGGTAATGCGAAGCAGGTTGCCACTGAGTGATTGGAAGTATGAGATAATTGTACGGCCTTTTTGCCAGTGCTTCTTCTCCTTGAGGTGGACAACGCCGTAGGGAATGTTGAAGTCTTTTCGGAAGCCCCACTTGTAGCGAGTGCGCAAAATGGGGGGGACAGTGGCGGCCAGGTGATCGTGGATATTGGCGGCAGTGATGTAGGGAAGTGGTTCGAAAAGTTCGGGGGATTGCCATGTATTCAAGGCGCCAGTGAAATATTGGCGAGGGCAAAACAGCCGGAGTTGTTGGAGCTCATGGTCGGCATGGTGAAGTAATGTGTGTTTGCCAAGGTGTTCTTGGAGTTGGCGAAGCAGGCGAGCCGTAAAACGGGGTTGCTGCTTGAGGTGTGTGTTGTGGAGGCGCCATTGGTGCTCAAGGAAAGGCTGCAAGTGCTGAACGAGGGATGGCGGAAGCCCTTGTAGTTTGAGCCATTTTGTGTAGGCCGTCTTGAACATGAGGAAGTAGCGGGCCTTGCTGGGGTAGTAGGTGCTGTTCATATTGGCGTTGAGAAAAATGCCGAGATGCGTAGGGAGTTGGAGTTGGTCAAGTGTAAGGATGTAGTGGCCGTTGATGGTGGGGGTATCGGGATCCTGCAAGAGGGTGCGAAGGTGATCGCATGCGCAGGGGAGGTCTGCTGGATCTGGCGGGGAGTGGAGGGTGTCCTCCCATGTGCGGTGGTTATGCAGGTGGGAACGGAGGGTTTTGTGTGCGGCTTCTCGCAATCTGTGGGAGGGGAGGTGGAGGGGGATGGTGAAGTGCTTGTGTTGCTGAATGGTGGTACGAAGCCACTGCTGGCAGTGCTTGGTGAAATCGTCGTGGGCCAGGAATGGCACTGTCAACGGAAAATTTGGTTTTGGCGGTGTGAGGTTGCGGTAGATCAGGGCTTTGTTGAGGACGTGGAGAGCTCTGCTGCGGCCGGGTTCTTCAAGGTTCGCGGCCATGCGTCGGATTGCATAGACTTCAAGGTCCGTGTGGCGGCCGCTTCGTAGCTCTTTGGCTGCTTCAAAGGAGGCTGCTGTGTGTTTGGTGAGGTTGCGAAGAAGTTGGAGTGCGTGATGCTTGGTGGAGGTGTAAAGGTGTGGTTCTCTGAGTGTGTATTGGCGTTGTCTGAGGCGTCGGAAGAGTCGTTTGTGGGTGGCTAATCTGGAGTAGAAATGGGCTCTGTGTTTGGTGAACTGCCAGCCTTGAGCTTTGAGCTTGAGGTGGTGGGAAATAAACGGCCAGTTGAGCGTAGGCATCCAGTTCGCGATGTAATGGTGCTCTTGGATCCAGGCTTGGTCGTATGTGTCATGGGAGGTAAGTTGAATGGTAGTGTAATGATGGATGTTGTTGTGTGAGTGCCAATAGCGTAAGGAGAGTTCGGCAGAAATGGGGATATTGTTCTGGAGTTGTTTGAGTTTGGCACGGCGATTGTGTTCGCGGTGGGGAATACCGATGGCTGTGGAGCCAACATAGAAGTGGCCATGTTGGTGGTAGCAGCGTTGGGGCTGGTCGGAATTGAAGTGGAGCTTGATGTAAACGGAATTTGAGGAAAGGAAGTTGTGGTAGTGGTATGTGTGGGGCAGACTGTGAAGCTGACGGAGACGGTTGCGCCATTGTTGTGAGCGACGGGTGTTGGAAGGGTATGCGAAAAGGAGTGTGATGTGGATAAGGCCAGTTGCAAAGATGGCCTCGGCACGGTCGATGTATTGGGTGCGGTGGATGAGCACGGAGAGTGCTCGGTGCAGGTGGAAAAGTTGGGTGAGGTTGGTGTGGCTGGGTTGCTGCTGGGCAAGGATGGCGAGTCAGCAGCCGATGGCTGCTCCAACACCCACGAGCTGTTGTAGGCTACGAATGGGGAGCCGGTTGACCCGGTTGAGGGGTAGGCCATACCTTGTGGCTGCTTCTTTGAGCTGCTGCGTGGTGACTTTGCTCGTTTGCAGCAAACGAACGACGTCCTTGGCGGCTTCTTGGATGGTGGGGTCGAAGGTAGTGACCCATTGTTGTATCTCTGGGTGGTTCCAGCCTTCGGGGATATCGTCTTGCAGTGTTGGGTGTGGTGGTTGCAAGACGTCAGTGAGGGCTGGCGGTTTTGGTGGTGGTGGAGTGGGTGCATGGGATGGGGCGGCCGGTGCGGAAGATCGGCTGGTGCTCTTGACTGGGGTGAGTGGGTTGCCCAGGTCGTGGAGCTTTTGACGTGCGCGAGCCAGTTCATCGTTGGTGTTTTTGAGGGCGCGTAGAGCGGTGCCTTCCGCAGGTGCTGGAGAGTGAGTTTGCAGTTGGTCGAGAAGTAGTTTGATGAGGGGAGCGTGAAACGCTCGGGCGTGGGTGGTTTTGTTGGGGATGTCCGTGCTCTGTTGGGTGTGAAGGGTCTCCGCGATGCCGTCAAGGTCAAGGCGTTTTTCACGGAGCTGTTGGAGAAAATGGGTCACGAAAACCGACTCCGCTATGCTTCTGGTGGCAATAAAACCTGTGTACTTGCCGTTGCTCAGTGTGCGGGCGGTGAACTCGGAGGTGCCGTGGTAAGCCAATTGCCACGGGAAAACCTCAAAGGTTGGGAGTCCTGCCACGCCGGCTTTTCGAGACCACTGAGTGGGTTGGATTGTACGATGTAGTTGGTGGCCGTGCAGGGTGTTGGAGTCCCAATGTTGTTCGGTTGGGTTCCAAGAGTCTGGAACAGGTGGAGTGGGGGATGGGATGTGTGGTGGTGGCGGGGCAGGCGCTGTGTTGCCACGTGCGGTTGGTGGTGGCGGCGGGCTGTGTTGGAATGTCGATGGTGGTGGAGTGACAGGTTCGGCCGTGGGGAGGGGGGGCGGTGGCGGAGGTGGAAACTCCGGCTGTGAGGTTGGTGCCTGTGGTGGCGGTGTATGCTGCGATGGCGGTGTGTACGGTGGAGTCACACACGGGTTGGAGTGGTGGACGTGGTGTGTACGGAGTGCGTGGGTGAGTGGGCCATAGGTGCCTGTGGGGCTGTAGGTGTGGTGAGTGGTGGTGGGAGGTGAAGTTGTGGTATCCGGGTTGGTAAGCTGCTGATGATGTTGCTGCATCAAATAATGATTCCAGTAGTATTGCTGCCACTGCGCGTCCATGGTGGCTGGGCAAAGTGTCACTGGATCGTGGGGCGAGGAGCACCGAGTGTTGATTTGAGCAAGCTAAACATGCGAGATCACGTCTGGGAGTGTCAATTGAAGGAGTAAGCAGTGCCAGTTGAAGAAAGAGGCGGTAACACACTTAGCCTGTCAAAGACTAAAGTGAAAAATGTAAAAGGAAAAGGAAACGGCTGAGAAAAACCGGAATGCTGCTAAAGTCTAGAAACAGTTTTCTGTGGTAATCCAAGTCAATGGTTGGTGAGTGACTCGCGGCTGAGACGCACTGTTTTTCGTTGTGCAAAGTGAAACCGAGCGTGTGGGTCTGCGGACTGAGTTGAGCCGATGTCCGAAGATGATGGTGGGCGTGTTGTAAGAGGCTGTAGCAAAAACCATGCACAAACACGAAAACCACGAAAAGTGTATGGGATGGAG